ACTAATAAATATTTTCTATATGACGTTATTATTTGCCAGCTGATATACTACTACACAAGCAATTTATAAACATTACACAATGTAATACACTTTAAAATCATCAAGCAAGAAAAGTTTCAAAAAAGCAATTGTGGAAGAAGTGATGCCAGAAGTAGTAAAGTGTCCATCATCATCATAAGGTCGTCAGTCCTAAGACTGGTTGGACACGTACCTCCACTCTTTCCTATCTTGAGCTAATCGTCACATTTCCCTAAAACTAGAACAACCCATATCCTTAATTATTTGCGAACAGTAATCTAATCTAAGTCTATCTCTACCCCTCTTAACTCCCGTTTCTGTCTCGAATATGTCTCTGACTAAACCTTCATGCCTGAGAAGGTGTCCTATCAACCTATCTCGCCTATTATTCTCTGTTCACTTATTCTTTCTAATACGTTTTCATTTCTAGCCCTCTCTATCCACGGCATCCTTATCATTCGCCTGTAACACCACATCTCGAACGCTTCTAACCTTTTCTACTCCGCCGCGCCCATCGTCCATAATTCGCACCCGTACAGCGCCACAATCCAAAGATACTTCTTTAGCAATCTTTTTCGAATTTTTAAATTAATCGTTCGCGAGCATAGAAGTGACTTCTCCGTGATTTAAGTGTCTATGTTAGTACTAAAATGCAACTTAAAATTCATTCGTATCTAATGAAGGAGATTGTTATAAAGTCTGTATTGGTCAGATTATTATGATTGGCCAGATAGATACGAAAAATTCTCCTTGATTAACTATAAATTTTAATTTTTAAATTGTTAATTGTTAAAAACCATTACGTAACTAGACATTTTTGAAATGTCGTTTTTTTGGTATTGTATCTATCTAAATGAATCGCCTACATCCTACGAATCAAATTTTGCAATAGTTATATTTTTTTAAGTCTTTATTTGAATCATACTGAAATGTTATGATTCGTTTTATCTTAAAAATCACACACGAATTTTCCAAATTATCCAATTAACATAGGTATAGGTAGGTAGGTACTATGTTTTTTATCATAATTTAATGATGACGATTTTAATAAAATTGTTATTACATTCTAGTTATTAACACTGAAAAAATAACGAAGCTCATTTTAATTTCAATTTCGAAAAAATACAGTAAAGTACCTACTATTATTTTTGCTCGACTTTTCAACGTATTGTATGTAATAAAGTAGTGTTCGACTGCGATTTCAACTTTCCTCATTTCTCTAAACTTACAAAAGACGTCCCAGTTTTTGATAGTGTACCTGCATGTACAACAAGGTAATGCCCGTTTTATTTTTACAAAAAAAAGAAGCATTTGCTGTGAAATTAAAATTCTGTTAGTTGTCCGTGGTACGAGTTGCATTTTAAAAGAGATTTCGAAAGCATGACGATATTAGTGTGCTTTTCTTCTAGTTTAAAATAGAAATCGTTTTAAGTTAATCTGGTTAAAAGTGCAAGTTGAACTCGTAGCAAACAGTAAACTCAATTTTTAGAGAACTTTTTCTGNTCTTTTTAATTTGCCTAAAACATTCTCTTATGAAATAAAAAGAACTAATTGGAAAACAAGAAAATTTGTGCTGGAAAATGAAGGATTTATAAGATTCAGTTTACATATATTTATATAAGCACTGTCCTGTCTCGTATAAAGTTCCCATCGTCAAAACCCCATTAATTGGATGGTAATATGGGACCAATAAGTACGACTAATCAATAACCTAATACACAAATAGCTTTCAGTTTGACACGAAGTAAGCTCAGTAGAATACTTATAAGAAAAATGGTAATTTTACTTCCTAATTTACCAAAAGTATTATTTAATTTTCATTTTTCTTGAAAGACTAACAAAAAATGTTATTCTCATCAGAGTCTAATAACCTTAAATTTAAAAATATTTGTTAAAATAATCCGGTAATACGGCGGTTTAATCTAGCATCAGACGGTGATTCCATTTCTTTAGATTTAGACCAGGTAATATATATATGTCCACTACGCAACTAAAACTAACTGTATCTCACGTGTATATTTGTGATTTGAAAGCGGAACCGGTTAGTTAAAATCGAGGATTTATACAAAAACTGAAGATTTTTATGATGACAGGGTCGTACCTAAAACCTAGAGCTCTCGACGCGACGGATGTATCGGCTATTCGAAAAGTATTGAATCCAAAGCCGCTATAGCTTATAACTTAGGATTAGATACAGGTACATACATCCTTGTCGTCTCTGAGCAGAGCTTTATGGTCTAATAAAGCAGTTCCTAATGGGATTTAAGTAATTAATTTCCTTGTTTCTGTATTATGCTTAATGTAGTAGACCAGTAACATGGACAAATTTTCGCATTTTACGAGAATGTATTATAATAGCAAATTTATGTTTTAAGAGATAAGTAAATTTGTATTATTTATGGATTTTTGCTTAACTTCCTAATAAAGGTGTCGTAGATGTCAATTTAATTTTTATTTAGTGTGTAAAACTATTTTTATAATATGCGCCATTAGTTTTCAATTAAATTTTCTAATAATTTTGAAAATATTTCATTCAATAAATTTGTGTTACAATTTTGAAGATCCTTTTTTAAATTATATTTATAGGTATACAAGGACGACTAATTAAGCATTTTTCATAAATATGACGGAAAAGAGGAAGATCAAGAACAAGGATAGGACTAAAACTAAGATCGAACGATGAGAACCAAGACTAAAACCGAGACTAACGCCAAATACGCAAGACTAAACGAAAAATTATTAGCTTCGGTGGATTTATGAGTTAGATAAATTGTTTGAAGCAACTTTAATATATTATTTTTTTGGAAAGAACATTTGAAATTTTCAAATGGTTTACTAAATTTTAACACAAAATTAAAAAAAAAAATAAAAGAAACTTTACCACTGTTTGAAAAAAGGAATGCCTTCGGAGTAAATGTTCTTTATTCTTATGAAATATATGTAGAGACAAATTAATTCTCTTTTCGATATATTTCAATTTTTTCATGTACTTTGTGCTATTTTGTTTGCGAAAAGATCAATTTTTCCGTTGGAGAAGGGGTCAGATTAAACGAGGAAGTTTTCATAACTCTCACAATTATCGACGCTATTTTCTTTAAATGTCATGACAAACTGACATGTATGATAAAAAATAAAAAATTATGTCGATTAATAGAAAACTTTGTGCTTCGAAGAATTACAAAATAAACGTATCAGATAAAATGAGTAAGAATAATCCAAGACTAAGACCGGAACTACATTAGCAAGATCAAGACTAAAAGTATTTGAGAAAGATCAAGTCCCAGTCTTGGTATTGGTTTTGGTCTTGCTGTGGTTTACAGTACCGAATTAATATGCAACACATACAAAGTTCAGTGGGATTTAGCGCAAGTCGTAAAAAATTATAAAACGTGAAAAGTCGTAAGCATTTTAGTCGACGCTTTAGTATGCGGAAAAAAATGTTCCTTAAATAAAAACAATCCCACATATAATTATGGTCATATATAAGAGCAAGTCTTTGGAAACCGTCGAAACAAAAATGCACCGCAATTAAATAACACGTAACGAGAACGTAAATGAAAACAGTAAGTGCCCAGTGCCCATACACACTTCGACTCATGTATCGTGTATATGCACGTACATAAGTAATCAGCACAATGTTAAAGACAAAACGCTGTATGCGTGCATTTTAAAGCCAATTAACGGCTGCTTTCGCTGCTAATTAATAGGGATTTCTCTTGGAAAAGTTTCCAGAACAAAAAAGTCACTCTTAACGACAGCATTGTAAATAATTTAGAGGCGCGCATATAAGTTTAATAAAGTAGGGCCGACAAAAATTAAGCAATTAAACTCAATATGACCCGGACAAAAAAAAGTCCCGTATATAAACTGATACCTTCCTAACTAAATCACTAATTTACTTTCCCAACGCATTGTTATATATTTTATTCATTCAGGGCATGTGTGCACCTACACCTTGAAAAAACGGCAATTATTTGAAAACTAAATGATCATAAGGAAGACTCTGCTTTAACTAAACTCTACATTTGTATAACAAATCAATTGCCATCTACATTCCGTCCCGTTTCGACATTTTAAAGTAAATTTCGTCCGGACAATTTATATTACCATGATAAATATATTGCAGCGATTTAAAAATAAAATCTCTGCCAAAGCAGATATTCGCGAACAAGTAATGCTTCAGAAACCTATGAAAAGACAACACGAACGAAATGAGTTTGGATTTAATAAATAACCGTATACTGATAGTAAAAAAATATATAAAAATTTCCTTTAACACAAGCTGGTAGCTGATTTTTTAATTGGCTGATCAAATTATCTATATTCATGTTGATTAGATTTATTGGGCCGAAAAACATTTTTGTGTTACAATTAAATTAAATAACACTATCTTAACTACAGGAATTATAATTTAATTTCTTTTTTTATAGAGTCATATATATGTAGTTAAAATTGGCTATGCCGAGATGTTCTCATAGGTATAATAAACACTGCAGCCCTAATGATTATTAGAAATCTTATTTGACTTCTAATATTTATTTTACATCGTTATTAATCACAAAACAGCAGTAAACAGAGTTGAATTAACTAGGCCTATTACTGGCTACTATCTTCGTAAACGAGCAATTAATTTTAATGTAAGTACTTGCCATAAGAAAAGTTGGAATACTATTTAATTTATTAACACTCTATTCGTCAAACAGTTCATTAAAACTGGTTTATTTCGAAAATTTTCGAAGTACAGTTTACTGCTACACGATTTTAGAACCTCATCATCAGCAGCAAACCAATTAACGAGATGTTTTGTTCGAATAAAAATACAAACGTTACCTAATTTCCAATTTCTAAGTAAACCGCATTCGCGTTTGTTTGTAATTGAAGTGCATACCTAACGTTATTCAAATTGGCAGTTTTTTATTTGTAATCGTTCACTGACTAAATAATCGTTTTCTCTAACATATAGGCATGCTTAAAGTACTTACATGGATGAAATTTTAAATCCAACCTTTAGAAGTAATCACCAACACAAGTTTAACAGTTAATTACGTTCGAACTTGAAGATCAAGTTCACAATTGGGTAATAACGAGTCACGTCTATTTAGCTCAAAACAATACCTTTTGTTCACAATACATAAATAAGCACTTAGAACACGTGTGGGGTTGAATAAATTCGAAATTTCGATAGCGTTATTAGGCTGGAGAAGATAGAGACTTCAACGCTCGGTCAGGCGACGAACCCAGCAGCGCGAAGTGGTCCTTCGTTCGTTGGATCCAAGTAGGCGTGCGTCAGCGACGAACTCGTCAAATATTGACACTGCACTTGTTTCCCTGTCAATGTTTGCTGATACTTGAACAGCTGCTATGCTTTGTTTTGGCTACTGTGTAGCTTGACTGTGTAAACGGTCTTGTGGCGTTTTTTTTTTCTAACAGCCGCTTTTAGCACAAACTTTATCGCACTTTCTACCGGTCTAACTCGAGCGGCTAAATGTCTATCGAATCGGAATTTAGCCGGAAAATGGTTACACTTTTAGATGCCAAACAAAAACAGCTTACTGTTACGGCCATAGTTAGGCGGAATTTTTCCAAAACACATTTCGATTTAGGTAAGTACATGCAATATATTCTTATTATACGAAAAACAAACAACCAGTTGTGCGGATAGTTTTTCCCGATCCAGCAACTTCCGGGAAATATTTTCTTCTTTAAGTTTTGAACACAAGTCCGTGATAGAATAGTTAATTAGTTTCACTGTTAATTAATCAATGAACGAAAAGTAAGTACTCGGTTGGTGACAACGTAACATATGCCTTGCGCTGAGGGCTGCTATGAGAGGGTATTTTTTATAAAATTGAAGAGTTCGTGGGCTGCCTTACGAAGGTGGTGCTCTGGTGTTGTTGTTATGTCGGCTTCCTGAGCGGAAGTCTTCGACTTTGGCACGCTAGCGGTTCTCAGCAGTGCACGAACTAACTGATCGCCACCCACCGCCGTGGGACCCAGAGACCTACATTTCTGCCCCACCATGGGTCCCCACCTGGTGGCCGGGCCCCCTCTTCATGGTCGTGATGCTGTGATGGGTGCACCAGGCACTCAGCAACCTCGCGAAATCGAATTGCGGAAGGGCGCAATGCTACGCAACGCGGATGAGACACAGCGACCATTTGGGTTAACGAACGCCGTTCATAGTCAGCTCATCTAACTAATAATAAGTTAGTTAGATCAGTAAAATTAACTGGCAAGATAAGTACTACCTCTCCAAACATTTTATTTTCTATCCATGAGACATAAAAACAAATTCTAGCGTTTACAAATGGTAAAGACCACATTAGATAAATATTTTTGAGGTGAAACTTCTTAAGCGACGGTAGGAAGGAAATTTATTAGGGTATAAAACCGAAAAGTGTAATGTCACGCGTCACAGCGTCACGCGCCATGTGTGACCCCTGGAGGATATGCCCAAATGGAGTCATTTTAACAGGCTCGAGACGCTTACCTGTTAGTAGCAACCGATAATCCAAAAATTGCCATTTCGACAAATTGTAAGCAGATCGCCCCTGTGTTGTACTGTATACGTATTGCATATGCGTTTGTATTTGTTTTAAGTTGTAATTCCTCTCTGCAGTTTTGAATCGTTCAAACGTAAAAAATTTTAACCAAACTGAACCTATATTCCGCGTTCGTCCGCTCGAAATAAAGTTGAGGTTTTCTAGTGTTTAGTTAATAGTTTAACCTATGTTATTTACACTAAAACACGATCACCCCTTTTTTCATTCTGATTTTGTACTTATATGAATCTAGTTTATTCATATAATAGTGGAAACTTTAACTACCGACTGAGAGCTTCAAATCTCCTGCGCAAAAGCAAAGAAATATGTCTGAAGCATTCACCAAGAATCAACTAAAATCAAACCGAAAGGAATGCTGACGCCACGATGAACTCCACAATCGTCGAGTACAGGAATTGATTCACGAGGAAACAGGTATAGAACGTATCACATTTTCGAGTCCTTTTAGGTCTCCAAGTATTATATTTTGTACGAAGATAAATTCTATCTCACTGCAAGCGAATCTTCCTCTAACTACGTTTCAGGGTATGATAAGAATTCAAAAAAATATTTCGTTTAGATTGATTACGATAAAGACCTGGATTTTCAAGATAATGATTACAGTTATGATCACGCTATCAAAAAAATTCTAAGATACTTGTAAGATTGTATTTTTCTTTTACTATAGTGTCGTGCTCTAAGTGCTGCGACCTTTTTGAATACTTGAAGGGCCGTGATAAAAGCAGGTAAAATAATTTTACTTAATTTTTACTTTATTAAGTTTATGCATTCTGTTGCACGATATTTTAAGAACAAATTTTTGGTATCCTTCATAGTTTCATCCAAGCTCAGGACAAGGAAAAAAGTTATCCTTCGACTTAGTGTTAAGAAATTAATATGTAGTTCCATTTATGTCATATTTACATTCTAATTCTGATTCCTTATTCTAATTTTTGAGCGTATGCTAAAGCTTTCAAACATATATTTCTAAAATATTATTCTAAATTCTATATTATTTTCCTTTTAATACATAACTAACTGCAAATAAAAACATTGATGTAGTTGTTAAAATTACTTCTTCCTTACATCGAATGAAAATAAAAATTGTACGATATTGACATTTTAATGTTTTTTTTTCTCATTTCTTTTAATATGAGAAATGTGTAGACAAATGTTCGGTTTTTGTCAAGCTGTGGGTACATCTTTGCTACTGTAGCGAGCACGACCGTGTTTGTGTGCGGTCGGACACACGTGTGCGTGAACGGCTTATCGATTCGCCGAATAGCCGAGGGCGCCTTTCTTCATTTGCGCCGTATTTGTAAATGTGTGTGTCGTACCTGCGTTCTGGGAAAGCAGTTAAACAGTTCAAAGAAAAAATAAACTATCCGGATGTTTCCAGAAGGTTCCCAAAAGTAAACAAAAGAGTATTTAAAGGAAAAGACGATCGCCTAGAGAGACGAAATAATTTGACCGTTGCAGAAATGAATCGAGAAATAAATTGACAGTGATAGCAGTGAAATAAATAGCACAGTGATGGTGATATATCAACAATAGTGTAAATAAATAGAGTAATTCATCACCTAAGTTTAGTAATAATTTAATAATGTTCTTAAATTCTTTAATAAATAGTGTAAATAAATAGTTTTGTCGTTATAAGTCTTAGAAGTTAATTTTGTTAAACCCACGAACATTACACTATGTTATTATTAACGATATATTCACAATTGACCGGAACAACTATCAGGATATTTTTCAAAGGCACATCAAATTGGGTTATTATGCACTTAATAGGCATACCTAAGAAGAAGCCATTGTATATCTATCGCGAGCGGTATTCAAAGATTGCATTACTGGCACCGATTGAAATCAAACGCTGATACGGCGAAACTAGTTCGTAAATAATTAGACAGACGTGTATATCTACTATAATAAAGGAATATAAATTAATGCACTGTAACGTAGTAATTTTACACCTATTTTGATCGAGTGTGCGCAAATAATTTAATATCTATTAATCAATATCATCAGTCTATTGACTAAATTGAAAACAGTTATTTGTATGTATAATGCCAGTTGTTGTAAACGTTACAAAGCGAAGAATACTTTGCGTATGTATGTATTACTTTGACTTATAAGTAAAAATCAAATTTGGAATTTAAGTTTAAATATATTTGCTTACTATCAAATAAAAATCATCAAGTAAGTAACAAAGTTCAGTTAACATACTTGTTAGATGTACATAAAAATGGAGATAATTGAAAGTTAATATTCGCATTAAAAACACAACTCAGGGATGGTTAGAATCGAGTTGCTACCCAAAGGAACGAATTGTCACTCGTCCTTTTGGGGTTGCTAATGTGTTCCAATTATAATTATGGATGTATGTTAAGAAATAATATACCTAAATATTCAACATAATTGCGTGTATTAGTTATTGCATTGTGAAAATTAAAAGCTTTAAAATGTCGACAGGACGGTTTATATGAAAAGTGAACTCACTAATGTGATTATAAATTTTGTTACCAGAATAATTTGAGTGATGGTGAACAAAAGTGGATATGTGCTAGAAGAAACTATAAGTACAAAGGGTTTGTAACAATAGAAGACCCATTAAAATTATTGCACAATTACAGATATAACCATGATAACATTTCCAAAATGTTTCTAAATCGACAAAAAATGAACCGTGAGCTAATACGGAAAGCTGTTGACGAACCATTGGAACGCCCTTATTAAGTTAATTAATATGAAGGAAGATATGGTAAGGGTCACACCCCCCCTTCAAAGATAGTGGCAGAAAAATGTGTATTACGCGAGGTTTAAAACACAACAAAATTCCGCGAACTTTTTCGTCTTGACAAATCTGAATTAGAGTGATTTTTCTTGAGAAGTTAAAAGCATATCACTCACTCGTTCAATGTAGTTTTGTATTGTTTGCACTATTTTTATTTTTGTCATTTAACGTTTAATGCAATACATATAAATACGTACAGCAACACCAAATTAGCGTGAAGGTAAATACTTCAAAAATTGCACTCACGTTCTATTAATGTTTATAACATCATTACTGTTACGTTTTTATAGTTTTATAGAAAACTAATTCTTGATCTACTTTATCTGAATATAGATTACGCTTTCATACTAATAGAATGAGACACTAAACAGCAGTATAAAGAGTGATGTTTGCGTTGATATTACAACTCATGGTGCACTTTACGTATAGGCATACAGTTGATATGACAACCGGATAATTAAAGCTCATCAAAAGTTGCAATTGACCAGAAAAGGTAAAAGGCTGTAATTAATTAAACTGAGTTTCCACAGGTGTGGTCATTAATAAGATGATTTAGAAGGTTAGCTCTTAATAAAACTTATATTATTGAATCGGTGAGAGCTTTTGATTATATGTGTACTAAGCATGCCTAGTTTGTATTTATGAATATTTTTATCAAGATGGATATTAAAAAGGAATTCGTTGTTTGTATCGTTTAAACGCTTACATGCATGTTTTAAGGGTATGTCAATTCTGACAATTCTTCAAAAATGAACCATTCAGATACATTTGTAAAAGTTCTTACAAAAAATTCCTTTGTATTATTCTACTACTATTTCATTTTTTATCAATAGCATCAAATATCCCTAGACAAAAATTTTCAGTCTCTCAGAGTCTTTCAGCGTCTCTCACAGTCTTTCACAGTCTCTCAGTTATATCTCTGTATGAGAGACTCGAACGATAAAATTATTAATTCAGAGATTCGAGTCTCTCACAGTGGCTGAATGAATAAAACTGAAAATTGAGAGATTCGAGTCTTTCGTAGAAAGACTGGGATCTCTGAAACATGTTGAACTTTTTGAAATTTTAACAATGTCTACCGAGACACCACTTATTGAGAGATTCGAGTCTCTCGTTCAGAGATTCGAGTCTCTCGTTCAGAGATTCGAGTTTCTCGTTCAGATACGCTAAACAGTTTTTTTGACAGTCTCTCTTAGTGACACCAGAGAGACTCGAGTCTCGCTTTCAGAGACTCTGAGAGACTGAACATTTTTATCTCGGAATGTAAAGCCTGATTTATTACCATCTATTAGAAAGTGCTTGATGGGGGTACCAACATGACAGAACTCCAGCAAAATGCTTTAAGGGGTTGTTTAATTGTTACGGTTAATAGCTATTTAGGCGATGAGTACTAGTCACAAGTGTTGGTATTTCGTATTTTAGGTTTCACCAGTTCTGGTACCTAAACCTACATGTTCTGCCACCAAACCCTTACAAATATTAATTAATTATAATCTTATTATAATTCTTGGTATGTGTAGGTTGAAATAATTAAAAACTTTTTTGTTATAGGTGTCTTTTGGTAACGCAAAGCGAATATTGCATTACAAAATCTTATAATCTCTGTTATCAAGAA